TCTATCTTGTCCTTATCAAAAGATAAATGCTCAGTGAAAAGAACTAACTGATGATGGCACAGTCATCTGTTGTGATCTATCCCATAACTGTTCAGACAGAACAACAAACCTCACAGTGGTGCAAGAGGAAATCTCAGCGGTTTACTAAAAACCAGCAAGATACATAGTCTGATCTAGTTCTTAATAAGAACTAATGCAATTTAATTCAAAAGTTGTTGAGACATTTCAGTCTAGACCGTTGTGACGGTCGAAGTGACAGAGAGACATTCCAAAAAACGTTTTCCGTCTCTGCAGCAGCGTTGCTAGTGTGGCTAAAAAAAAAGTACAAGGAGCAGAGCAGAAGTAACTCAATAATCGCTTGGCTACGGGCAGCAACAGCTTTGCCATATGAGAGTAGATAAGAATAACCGGTGCAGCCATACATCATAACTCCCCAGCCCAACGGCCCGCCAACGGCCATAAATCAAAGCCGGAGAAAAAGGACAAAAAGAGAAAGAGATACAGAGAACAAGGTGACGCCATAGTTCATTGAAAGGGATAGGGGTAAAACCTGAGAGGAAGGAAATAGAGAAGAGGTAAGACCAGAGAAAAAGAATAGTAATACCATGAAGGGTCCGTAGAGGAGGGGAAGGAAGGAAAGTGAGAACAGAGTAGGGTGTGGTGGAGCTTCATCAAGTCACAGGGGGCCCCGACTGTGGCACCATTAGCCAGTAAATCTCCTGGTGACTGTTGACACGAGTGACATGTAAGATCCCAAAACACAGTTAGGAAGTCGGGGTGTAACATGGTCGTGTCAGTTAGCATGCAGTCCTACTGGACAAGAGTGCACTTACTGAGCTGAAGAAAACTGACAAAAGCCTGCCTATAGCCTTATTGTTTTTTCTAATTGTAGCTCTTTTTCCTGCATTTCCCCCTTTTCTTTTACCTTGGTATCATTGCGCCCTCTGGGGACGTGCCCCTCCAGAGCAGTCACCTCCACAGTGGAAGTCTACGGGTTATCGTGCTATCTGAGATTGGGTTGGATTTCTGCGGAGCTGGGAGTGGGGTGACCACAGGCTTTGAAAGGGGATCCCCCTGGAGCCTTCCCTCTCACGTACACACCTGTCTGCTTGGGATACCACTTCACTTCCAGGCCCTGCTCTGTCTGTGGCCCTGGAGTCTGGAGTCTCCGTGGAAGTGCATTCCTCTGCCCGGCTCTGAATGATCACATAACACTCAACCCACCCGAGTCTATGATCCCTCTGCAGAGCTGCAAGACTATATTGTTGCCATTGGAAAAAGCACAGAGGCCGGTTCAACTTATCTGAATGCAAAGGCTTGCATTCTCTCTTTCTTTCTTGTGTGTTATTCAGCAGTGAGTTTGATTTTTACTCTCTTTTTTTCAGAGTTTGATTAGTGGTGCAGTAAAATCTAGATTTAAGACTAACAAACAAAAATCTATAGACGTCTCAACAAGCCTGACAGTGAGGGTTTCTTTACTCAGCCTGTGGCTTGTTGGACCAATACCTGATAGACCAAGATATATGCGAGCTGTGTATTCACTTGTGAAAACAAGTATTTATTGCTTCAGTATCCCACTCTTCGAATAGCTGTAGGGAGTTTCTGACCTGGTCACTTGCATGCAAGTTATTGCTTTTCCAATAGAAATTCCCAGCAGACAGAGACAACGAGCCAACTTGAACTACAGTCTATGACTGGGGTCACTGCTATCATTACTGGAGGGTTAAAGTTTGGTATTCAGGCCACCGTGTGAGAATTCATCTGTCATTCAAAAGTAGCAGTCAAAGTAAGTACACTTAAGATGTATTTATTTTATGGATGCTTTCTAATTGAACCACTGCTGCAAAGGAAACGTAACAAAATAAATGCTGAATTTTAGGCTGAAAAAAAAAAAAGAACGGTTCAGATCAGCCGGTTCGTCTCTCTCTACCTCTTTCTGCAGATTTTACCCCAAACATGTTTGAGCCAAATACGAAAACTCCTCAACACACGTCAAACATTACTACAATCTCCACCTGGATTTATTTTTGGAAGTAGCGTAGCATTTGAAGAAGAGTTTTCTGTTCATACAACTTGAAACAAGTTAAACAATCTTGACTTCTACAAGTATGGATTTGGGCTTTTAGCATTGCATTCAATATAATTTTCCTCTATGTAACTGTACGTATACAAAATACATATTCAAATTTGCTCACTTTAATTCTTTTGCAAAAAAACCCTATTTATCCCTAAACAAGGATTTTCTTTCTTACAACTAACAGCTAAAGTAACTTTCTCCTCACTGTTTGAAATTGAACCGCTGACCAGCAGATCCACCCTCACACCCCAAGTGTCAAACTGAACGTCTGCCCCTGACCTCTTACTAAGAAACACTTGTTACACAATTACGACAGCCGTACTTCAGCTGCGTCTGACCACACACACACACACACACACACACACAAACACACACACACACACACACACACACACACACGGTGTTGCTCCTTACATTCTTCAGCCCCCCTGATTAAGATCTTGACGTACTGTATCTGCAGATGTACACTCATGCAGTAACATATGTACATGTGTGCTTGCAACATTTGAGCTTGTGAGGCTTATAGTGGTATTTTCTTAACTGCTACTCTCCTCCGTGTAGATATGTTAATGATTTGAGTATTTGAGTGTGTATTCTTGACCTACTTGTGAAGAAGCATCACTGCAGTGCATGTAGTGGCAGGTATCTGTTTAAGGCTGCTAAGACCCTTAAGCAGCCGCCCATATCACTGCATCTCAGGATATTTACGGATGCTTAAACTGTGTATAGAAGAACTTAGCGAAACTGCTTTAGCTTATACAACAATTAAACTCAATTCAGGGTTAAAAAATGGCTACTGTTGACAAAGAGGGTCTATAGCTCAATATATATATAAGTATGGTCTCTTTTTGGATTTTGGAATATGTAGTTTAGCTCTCTTTCTCTGTCTCCTTGGATGTTTCCAAAAAGATCCGAAGCAACAAAATCATCTGAGATTTAACAACTATTTTGATTAATTTCAGGCTTTAAAATATTTCACAATTTATGGTATTGGCGCAAACACTTAATTTAACTTTAATAAGTTGATCGATTCCATTCTTTATGAAGAGGTTTGCTAGCAGAGCCAGTGGATTATCTTGGGTGCAAATCTCACCTGACCCAGTGTTTTGCTTCCCACACAAACAGCTCACCTACTTAGATTTATTAGCAGATAGCCTGACCATCAGCGCGCTCTCCAGCCACATGCCCCTACATGTCCAGGATAATGCCACCACCCCCAGGAGTCACCTCTTCAACACTTCACATTAGTGATTTGCCAGCTGGCTCATCTCACTTTTATCTGTTGTCTGTTTGATCTTTTCCCGGATGTCCCTGAGTGTTTGCTTATGTGTGTTTGTGAGTGAGTGCTTATGCACACGTGCAGTGCGCAGATAATGTTAATCCATGTGTCTCTCATGTGCATTAATACGTGTTTAATCCATTAATGACATGAATATTGTGCTGTGCCCTTTACATGTGAACCATGGTCATGCAGAAACATGGTTTTGTTTAATGTCCCAGTATGCACCAGTGCACCTGGTTCAGCTAAGCTGGCTGGAAGCTTAAACAAAGTGGGTAAGCAAACAAAAAAAGAAGTGTTGAGCTAATTGAAGCCCTTGTCTTCTCTTCCTGTGCTTAAACCTGCACATAATAGACAGAAATGCTTTACTTCATGCAGCTTATTAAGTCACAAATGTATGAAATATTACTAAGAATAGATGTGTGCAATTTAGATTATATTCCAATGTCAGTTAATGTCAGAGCCACTGATCCTCATTAAAAATAAATTACCATCTACGTCAGTCACAGTCTGGGGGAAAGAGTTAATTAGTAGGGATTCACTCAAGGCCAAACCGAGGCTTCATTTTCCTGACAAAAAGATTGTAATTTAGCCAAACTCACATCCTCTTGCTGCTGCCTTCTCCATGGGCCTGATGGTGCTATTACTGTTACCATGACCCTCAATGCAGCACAATTATAGGCTAAACTTTCCCCGTGGCATTGATTGCATTTCTGAATCTTGTCTTGTATTTTATAACCAGTGCAAAAAATAGAAAAGGCCACCTGTTGCATTTTATTGCATTGCATTGCTATATTTGTAATGCTGTTCAAGTAAACCTATGAAACAGTGAGAGGTGACAAGCCACCGAGCTTACATATTATGCTGTAACTCATCATCATGTGTGTACCGGGCATATCTGATTCATTGAGGAGAATTCTTTGGGATAAACAGCATTGATTGCTAGATCGTCACATTATACCTGTTACAGATATTAATCATTCTTTAGACTCATGTCAAAAGGAAATATGATGTTTCATGAATGCAAAGAGTCGCCAACCAAAGCACATCAATCAGGCGCCAGAGTAGGATGAAAAAGGGGAATGAGTCTAATTGGAAAGACAATATTGTCTCTTCTCACAAACTTGCACGAAAACATGTCCAAGAAACACGTCAGTGAGACTGATTCCAAGAAGAAGGTATGAACTGAATATCCTGTTATTCACACCTATACACATTTCACCGTGTCACTTCAAGCACATGATGAAAGGTGACGTTTGAAAGCTCTGAGACACGCCCTGAGGCGAAAGACCCTATTGTTCATTAACAATAAAGTTTAAAAAAAGTGGTAGTCTTTTGCTTTTACTAACCCACCGTCAGCGTTTGACTTAGCCCCCTTTGACCCTTGTCCTTTAAACCTGCTACCCTTTCCAGTAGGGCGAACAGAGGTGGTGCCTCAGTACTGGGTGTCAGTCATGGCCAACTGCCTTAAGTCTTTGTGATGCAAACACTCGGGTGATTGACAGAGCGCAGGAAGTTTCAATTTTAAGCAGCCATTAAAAGGCAGATATACTCTGAGGAAAACCTTCAGGCAGATGATTCCTCAGTAATGGGCCCCAACTTTGGTGTCGCTGCGCACAAGTATTAAATATTACAAAAGCCTACCGTTGTCTTCGACTGTGAAGTAGAAGATGTCACTTGTGGCGTTGCTCCCATCCAGCAGCACATAACAGATCTTCATGTCATTGATATCAGCTGTTGGTATGACAAATATAGAGAGATGGAGTGTTAGCTGAAACGGAAAGATAACTGTGACGACTGAACCACTTTTACAAGGTTTTAGTTACAGGCCTCAGGCTGCAATTAAAGTGATACGAGCCACAGGAGAAATGTGTTTTAAAAGTTTAAGCAAAGTCAAAATGCTGAGAAGTGAATATCTTTTACAGAAATATAGTCTATGATGATTTTAAAGTGATTACTAACATTAGTTGTAAGAGTCATTAATGTCAGTACAATTTTATACTGTATTTCTAAATACATATATATTGCATCTGATGCATCCTTCACATTCGATCTTAACTCCATCATATACTCTCTAAACTAGATAACATATGTTTGTTGTCAGTGATTTCCACTAATTAAAAAGGCCTAGCTGCCTGTTTATACATTCAGAAGATACAGAACATAAACACTCATTTGGAGTTATGTTTCTAGCCATCTGACGAATACACAACACCCACCAAATCCTGAGAAAAATATCTGTCTGTTCAGCTGCTTCATTCTTTACTATATTCATCACTTGGGTCCATGTAACACTTTCCAGTTCTTTGTTCAGTTCACACCATCAAAATGAATCAAAACGAATAATGTGTTCGAAAACTTTTCTTTTATCTGCTTTATTTGATAACTTTACTTATTAATAATTGTCTCTTGGTTATTATTATTGTTCCCGTTTCAATTGTTGCCTCAGAATAGAATTTTTGAAGATATTTTAATTTTCATTTCTGTTTTACACTTGTGATCGAATTGTACCATTAGCACACATGTGTACAGACAGCCATGGACCCAGTAGCCCACGACATTATGTATCAGAGAGCAAATGTGACCAATAATTTATCAGCTACACCATGTTAGGCATTAATAAAATGTTAGAAACAAAAGACTATGAAAAAAACAAAATGTCTATGACATTAATAAGAATATTGTTGTCTTTACTTTCATTATTTATTCATTCATTTATGTAGTCATTTATTTGTGTATTTATTTTTTCATTTACATTTGAGGATTTGTTTTCTTACAGACACACGCATAATATTTTAAAATACATTGGCCTATGGCCCCCATCTATGAGTAATGTTTACACGTCTCCAAACCCTCCCAAAATAGTGTAGCTGATAACTAATTGCAAGATCAGATGTGCCACATATTGTGGTGTCGCTGCTGGGTCCGTGGCTGTAAACTGTCCTTGGTGCAGATGGTACAGTCTAACCACAACCGCAAAAGGCAGAAATGGAAAATTAGGCTTCAGAGTCAGCTTTAAATTTTTGTTCAAAATCTAACTCTAGAACAAAAACCTGAAAATTAAACTGTAAAACAATTATATTTTGAGAAGTGATAACAAAAAAAAAGGTAGTCTCACACCCATTTTTCATTCAATGTTGATACTGTGACTTGAACAATGAACTGTAAAGCCTTACACGGAGCCGCGGTTATTTGCTCACATTGTCTCCTGTGGTGCTGGGAAAAGGGTGACAGTAGTCACAATGAAAAGAAAGAGAAAAGTTGTGGACCATATAACCAATGCAATGAGCTAAAAATGATAAAATCTCTGCAAAACTAAAGAAACTTCAAATCCATGTTATAAGATTCTTTATATCACACATTATCACCAGTTAATGTGAAAAAATAGACGATTACTGCACTGTATTTTTCAAAACCTATATTAAGAGATGTAATTAGCTTACCTTGTGAGAATGTCTTGATGCTGTCATTGCCCAGCGCAGTGTTTATGATGAAGCCATGCAGTGGAGCCTCAGACACAGTGTACTTCAGGACCCTTTGGGGACTGTCTCGGTCCTCTGATCGAAGGACCTTGCTGGTGATCAGAAAGCCCAGGTGTCCTGTATGGAGGACTTTCAGTGAAGCAGCAGCCTTGTTTACCACAATCTGGGGGACACCGTTGTCCACTGTATTGATAAAAATGGTCATCATCTGGGGCTTGCGTGTCTCATACACAGTATCAGGGAAGACATAAAAGTCGGTATGAGTTCCATCTGTGACAGTGAAAGAGAAGCTGTCTTCGTTGGTCTCAGTGCTATCATGCTTATAGCTGATAAGGTTCTCATTCAGGTCCTGCTTGGTGAAGGTTGTGATTGGTTTAGTGTTGTTGAAAAGCAGCTGGCCGTGCACTGGCACCTGCGTGACGATGAAACGCAACAGGTTGTCAGGGGTGTCCCGGTCCTCAGCTGTCAACTCAAATGGTGTGATGAGTTTGGTTTCTCCCTCCTCCACAAACAGCTTGTTTACAGTCAACACAGGTTTTTTATTATCTACATCAGTGATGGACACTCGGAAGGTTCGGAAGACAGGATTGTAACCATCTGTCACCTCAAACTCAAAGCTGTCCATTTTCATCTCATCATCAGAGGTGTGGATGTAGTAGATCTTGTTGCCGGCAAGCTGCAGTTGGGTGAATGTAGAAATGGGAACACCTGGGTGGTCAGTACTCTCTAAGTGTCCTCTACTAGGTGCTCTTGTGATGCTAAAGCTGAGGTATTCATCTGGACTGTTAATGTCTGTGGTGCTGAGGAGGTCAGTGGTAAGAGTTACTTTGCCACCTTCTTTGAGAGTCACGCCTTTGTTGACAACATCTGGAAAAACCATGTCAATACTTCCAATGTTGATGTAAAAGTAACGGTCAATAAGTGGATTGATGCCATCTGTGACGTCAAATTTCAGCAGGTCACGGATCCCTTCTTGGCCTGTGTGCACATACTGAATGAGTTGTTTGTCGATTTCGTCCTGTGAGAAATTCATTCCTAGGGTGATGTTCCCTACAACGTCACCAAATTTAGTGATACGCTGAAGGTAGCCTTGGCCAGGACCATATCGTACAACATATGTGAGGTCTTTGTCTTCAGAGTCAAGATCTGTTGCTTTTAAAACCCTGTTGCTGATGACTTTTGTCTCTCCAATCTCAACATCAAGGCCGTCATTAATAGCCATTCTGGGTGTCTCATCGTCAACAGGAATAACCATGATGAGAACAGTTTTTTCTACTTTGTGTTTCCCATCAGATAGCCTGACTTCAAAGCTGTCCTCTTTGGTCTCAGAGTCGTCATGTTCATACACAATGTTGGAAGCTTCTTTGATCTGTTCCAAGTTGAACTTTTCTACAGGGATGGTGCCGGTGCTGAGCTGCTGAACTATTGTACCATGTTTGGGGTTTTTTATGATCTCAAAGTGCAGCTCATCCCCAGGGATGTCAGCATCAGCTGCGTTCAGAATTGGTGTGTCAATAACCAGACTCATGCCCTCCATCACCACAAACTCACGGATGAAAATCTCTGGCTTCTCATCATTAGCTGGAATGATGACTATGGGGAAGAAATGTCGTTCGGAGAAGTTAATACCATCTGAGCAGCGGAAAGTAAAACGGTCTTCCACAGGTTCAACCCCTTTATGGATGCTTTGGACATAGTAGATATGACCGAGGGCGATGTCTTTAATTGTAAAGGCAGTAATGGCAGTCCCAGCTCTTGATTTCTCAGAACCTGCAGCTGGTGAGATGTTCTCCACATAACCAGATGTTGGTTGGACAATGATGGTGCACAGGATGTCATCATTGTTTGTGTCTACATCCTCAGCCTGAATGTGATCCAGTGTGATGACATTCTTTTCCCCCTCCACTACAACAAACTGCTCTCCAACACTGACAATAGGTGGGATGCTGTCAACAGGAAGGATGGTGACGTGAACTGTCACACCTTGGACCTTGTTTCCACCAACGACCCACTGATCTGACATATCAGACAGAGTGAGGTTGAAGGAGTCGTGTGCTCTGACTGGACCAATTTCACCGGATGTGTGAGCATACACCACCACACCGTTTATGATGTCCTCCTGGGTGAACCTCTCAGCGGGGGCACCATTAACCAGGATCTCCCCCAGTCTGGGAGGTTCTTCCACAATAAAAGTGAGCATGAGGTCATCTGTGTCTTCATCGCGGCCCTGAATGACACTACTCGTTATCTCTGTTGCTCCATTCTCCAGTACATCGATGGCGGCTCCGAGCAGGCCGGATGGAAGCATAATTGTGGGGGTCTCATCATCGACTGGCTCAATGGTGATCTTCATGGTGATGGGTACCTCGTGGAAACCGTCACTCACAGAAAGTTTGATGGCATCACCGAGGGATTCCTCTCCTCCATGGATGTAAGTTAGGCGGCCATTTGCAATGTCTTCAAGCACGAATGTTTCACCGTTTGACATGTCAATCCCCAAATACTGCAGCTGCCCATATCGAGGAATCAGGGTCACGGTGAAGATGATATTTTCATCATCTGTATCTGTGTCAGTGGCATGCAGCTCTTTCTTTGTGATAACATAGACACTTCTTTCCATAACAGTGAACCCTGTGTTGGTGATAAGCGGGGGTTTATTGTCAACTGGCTGTAGGAAAATGGTGAATAGTCCATCTACTGTGTTACCAGCTGTGTCTTCCACAGTGAATGTGAACTGAGCCACTTTTGGAGTGATGCCCAGTTCCTGGTCTGGAGGCTTGTAAGCTACTTTGTGGTGATTAACCTGGGCTTGTGTAAACTCTGTAATTACAGTGTCAGGGCTGTCAGTCAGTACAATTTCCCCCAAGGGAGCTGGATTGTTCTCATCTGTGTCAGTCGGAGGCTTAGCTATGGTGTACTTCAGGTCTCTGTCATCTGAGTCTAGATCAGTATAACACAAGAATTTCTTCCTGAAGTATGTGAGCTCATATTCCTGGACTGTCATGTGAAGGGTGGTGCCTGGGAAAAGCTCGGGGGCAAGGTCATCTACAGGATGGATTTTGATGGTGAACATGTGCTCGCCTGATTGATTTGGAGGGTCATTGTCATCCTGTACCCGGAACACAAACTGATCGATCACAGTGGTAGTGCTATGGGGTCCGATGTGGCGATAGAACAGCTTTCCATCGAGAATATCCTGCTGGAACCATTCAGTCACCACCTGCTCAAACATCTCATCTGTCTCACTGAACTTCCAGAGAGACGGGTCAGAGGGTGACTCTGCTTGCCTCAGCAGAAGCTCGCCTACAGTGGAGTACGGTGCTTCCAAGATAAACTTAATCGTGGCATCTTCTGAATCAATATCTGTAGCGCTCAGGATGAAGGGAGAAATCTGCATAATTTCATTCTTGAACAGCACTAGGCCAGTGTTGGCATTAATAATGGGGGGCTCGTCATCAGTGGGAGCAATGGTGATGGGGAACAAAAATTCTACTTCATTTCTGCCATCGGTCATTCTAAAAATAATGTTGTCGCTATAGGTGTCGCTGCCATCATGCTGGTACACGACAATTCCAGCATCTAGATCGGCGGGTGTAAAGAATTTCCTGCGTGAGCCGAGCACGGTGAGGTCTCCATGCTTTAAGCCATCAACAACTGTTATTCTCACATCTTCCAGGTTATCCTCGTCACTGATCTCTAAATTCTGGGAGCTGGAGAGAGATCGGGACTGCCCTTCAAACAATAGCTGCCCTGTATTTTTGGTTGCAACTGGAGCCAAGGTATTCATAGGCTTTACCACAATCATAAAAGCAAATGTATCAGACACTGATCCATCTGTATCTACAATTTCAAACTCTAGCTGGAAAATCCTCTCCTGCTCTGAGTCCTCTGAGGGTGGCTTATAAGCTATTTTGAGGTCTTTGATGTCTCTCTGATAGAAGGAGGTGATAGGCAGATTCTGATCGTCTGTGCTGATAATGTAGCCGTGCTGGGGGCTCAGAGGTGAAGTAATGTTAAAGATTAAATCATCTGGGTCAGATTCGACATCTTCAGCAGCCAGCATGTCACTTGTAATTGCTGTCATCACAAACTGATCAACCTCCATCATCATCATGGCTACAAAGCTGGGTTTTGGAGCAGTGTTCTCTGCACCTTCTCTGATTCTAACCATCATTTGGAAAAACTCTTGCATTATAGTGTTGCCTTCAGTATCCTGCAGCTCTACCATCATTGGAACATAGTCTCTGTTTGGTGAATTGGTTTTAGCAGTATGTTTGTAGCGAATTCCCTGTTTCACAAACTCATCACAGTCAATCATTTGGCCATTGGAGGGACTATTCAAAAGAGTTCCATACCTGGGGAGACCTCCAGTGCCGACCAGAGTGGCGATTTTACACTGTGTGACACCATCCTCATAGGAAAACTCCAGACCCTTTTTGTCAATAGGGTTGCTGTCTCCATTGAGCTTTTCAACATTAAGGGGCATATTCCTGGTGAGGATCTCAAGCTGCTGGAAAACCACCTCCACTTCCAGCATGAAAGGAACAATAACTGTGTCTGTGTGGGAGTCATAACGAAGCTGCAGCCTCACACGATCCTTACTGGGGCTCCGAGATCCAAAATGAGTGTATTTCACTTCATCTGGTCCAAAAGAGCAGGGAAACTTTTTAGGGGTCAACATCCCAGGTTTCTGGGCCAGCGGGTCATTGTCCAGAACTGTGATTTGGCAACGGTCACCAGGCTGCACTTCTGTTACCAGGTCATTCACGGGGTCCAGAAACACAGACCTCCCAAAAGGTACCCTGATCCCATTGTTAGCGATGACAATAGTGTCTTCATTAGGTCCAGACTTGTGGTAATGGAGGTGAGCTGGACCAAATGGCTCTGCATAAACTGAGGTGACACAGAAGCTCAGAGAAAAAGTCACAAGCAGGTATTTGAAAAATTCCCACTTTTTACAAAGCTGGGAGCTTTGCAGACAACCAGCCATGTCCACTGCTAGTTGCCTTGCAGTTTATTTAATTTAAGCAGCAGCAGCAGCAGCAGGCAGATTCCCTCCTTGACTGAAGAAAAAGAGTCATCAAAAAAGAAACTTCTCTGTGATGGTTCGGGCCTTGGAATCTGTTCTCTGTGTCTGTCTGTTTCTGTGTGGCCACACAGAGGCACAAGTGTGGTGAATGCTGCAGGGCTGTGCAGGTAATAATGAAACAGTAGACAGTGACAGGCACAGGCTCCTCCTTCTGTCAGTGCAGGGAGGGAGCCTCCAGCCCCCATGGCTAATTTAAGAAAGATCATTGGACAAGACTGTGAAAGTGCTGCCCCAACCAGCACTTACCCTTCTCCTCTTGTCTCACTGAAAAAAGGGTGCTAGGGGATACACGGCAAAAACTGATTTAACCTAATTTAGTGCAACTATTAATGACACTTTCACTGTGCCTGTAAATTTGAACAAACTTGACAGTATATATATTTAGTAAATAGTGACACTTCAGTTTTATTTTTATGCTTCATAATTACACAAAAATATGTCAGCCCTTAGATTTTTTTTAAGGTTAACTTTTAGAAATGACTTTGCACATACATTTGTGTGGAAACTTATTCTTGGAGTGCCCTGTAGTGGGTTAAATATGTGCATTCAAGTTGACTAAATGAAGCAATAAACAGTAATAAACCTTACCCTTTCTACTTTGAAGTCAGCTATGTGTTCAGATGCATCATCACTGACCTGTGTGATTTCACAAACCGCTTCAGAGGGGATGAAGACGTCTTAGAGAGTTGGAGTTATGAGAATGAAGTAAGCAATCCCTTATTACAGTAGCATCAAAGCCTCTATGTCAAAGTCAAATCTGGCACTGCAGCACTACTTCAATAACAAGGAAAATATTTTACAATGCATAACTTAGATTTAAAACTCTTAGCTAAAGGCTGAAATGCACCATGTAAATGTATCGTAATGGTTTAATTTGACTCCCACAGTACATTAGAAAAGACATTTAGATTGAATGCAAAGTTTGTTATCGTCATCAACACAATTAATGACCTGTGTGAAATGATGACTTGTGAGGATGTTTGTGTTCTGTTCACAAGTCAGAGTGTCTCTGAGGTCGTGACATCTCGGCACCGGAGTGGCCGTTCGTCCCACAGTGAGGGACAATAACCTGGCATCAGCTGGCAGCACAGGTGTATGGAAACTGTTTGGTCTCACACACAGAGAGACAACAACACAGCTCAAAATATTCCCTCAAAAACATTTGTCAAGTAAAGAAGTAAAGAGTTTAAACTGGCTGTATTGGTCACTGACAATTACTTCATCCCTTGACATCCAGTCTTTGCCTTTCTTTTTCTTTCAACTAGTTTTGAAGGTTGTTAAAATCCCCGTTTCTTCTGGCTCCTAATTCAGTTTATTAATTTATTAAATGTAAGTTTACAATGACAGAAACACAAGCAAGTGCCATTTTATTTTCCTTCGATGACAAATGTATATTTTTACACTTCTTGCTCAACTTTCTCGGTAAGGCAAACACTGTACATTTTTATTAAAACCTGAGGCTCTGTGTTGTTAAAGAATGTGTCATCAGATGGAAATGTTCTAGATTTCTTGGCCAATATTTATATACCTTATCTATAAATCTATATAACCTGCCTCTCTCCCCTCAACCTCTAACAAAGACGTCGACTCAATGCATCACATTAATGCACAGCTTTTTTAATAGGATGATGTTATCCTTTGGCACATTTCAAATTGTTTAGATTACACACAATGCAATCCTGCACATTCCCAGGCAAATAATTTGCACATTTTTGCACACTGTAAATATTTCTGTTACTTTTAATTGCTTTTATACTCCTGTGAATGTATTTTTTAAAACTTGTAACACATGCTTCTCATTTGTCTTTTAACACTTATTGTCTATTGACCTTCAACACTTTTTTTTTTTTATCATTCTTTTAATTTTCTACTTGTCAGTTTTACTGCTCTGCACCAAAACACACAGTCAGATTCTTTGTATTTAAAAACCTACTTAACAATTACACTGATTGTGATTATTATTTTAGAATATCAGCATCATTCAGCTTGATATACAGTATTATTTATTTATTTATTTTAAAATTAGAAATGTTGGGTTCTGCACTTGAATTTAAAACTTTAGTTTTTCTACAGCATTTGGAAGTACGGATCATTTTTTAATGACCAACTCAGCAGTGGGACGCTGCTTGTTTGAGGTTACTGTAAGATTTAAGTCGGGGAAAATGCCCTACTTTATTTTGACAGCATCTGCATATTTGATGCAGTGGTATTTTTTTGGCAAAGCTAAAGAATGAAACATAGTGCCAGCAAACACAAGTTCAGGGAAAGGTGAAATATGTGATGCAAACACTTCCAACAGGCTTTTTCTGCAGCGATACTGACAAAGCAGAGCGCGGGGAAATCAAGCAGTCGTACTGGATGGGGGGAGAATGTGAGAATGTGTACTCAGTTCGCTGCACAAGGTCATGTTAAGATAAAAATACCTGGTAGCCTTTTATGGATCATCTTTTGAGTCGAGCCTGACACTTGATGAAGTGATCCGTGTCCGTTGCTCAAACATTTTCCCGCTATTCTTCCAGCCGCAATGCTTTAAATATTTGATTTTTGATTTATTGTCACTAATGTCAGTAATTCTATGTAGCTGGACGAATCTAATTTTCAGTTTCACTTCTAAATAAATCAAAACACCTGCAAATTCATCAGCTTAACGCTCATAATGGACCTTGCTTATGCACAAGAATTCAATGTTGATCATTTGGTATAAGTAGGACACCTACATCCATTGACACAAGTTTACATTTAATCATTATCTACGCTTGATTATTAATCCCAGTGCTGCAACTTCAGCCATTTAAATTAATATTCTGTAAAAGTGCCTCTGTTCATTGGGGATTGTAATGCTTTTAGGACAACACTGTGAACCACTCAGCAACCTTCCTCTATGCGTGGGCCAAATAGCAGAGATGCCGTATGCATCCAGGCATTCTGTATCACACTTTTCACTGCATCCTCTAAATAAATCTTGCCCTACTCACTTGACTAGCCAAGAATAAAAATGGGACACACACCAAACGGTGTAACTATAGAAACAAACACAGTAAGCTTTTTATACTCTGTCACTCCTGGATTTCACTCACATTCCTCCCATAGTGAAGAAGATGAAGACCTAAGGACTAAAGCGGCAACTTATCATCCTGGTATTGAGAAAACTGTGGATTCCCGCGTGACAAATCAACGTACGACTCTATCTACAGAACTGTGCAGATGAGTGGAAAACAGATACTAGATGTGTCTGCTCTCGAGCTGCAGCACGACATTCATTAAGCCATTAACTTGGCTTTCTCCAAATTAGACATTAAAGACATGACATGCCTTTAATAAGCATCTAAGGTAAACAGAGAGAGAAGCTGGGTCGAGGCCAGGCTCCACTGCCCAGGATCAACTCATCATCCGGCAGGAAGCTTATGATGACAGCAGCCACTAATGACCTCATGATAGATGGAAAACAAAGCCCAAGTGGATCCCACCCCTTTACCCTTAAAAGCCATGCAGACAGAGGACACGATTTGCTTTCTTTCCTTTCGGTGCAGTTGTTACGTCCATCAAGACGAAGCTGCGGTCTGACCCAGAGCTCCATCGTTTACGTGACACAGACCGCAGCACTTAAGTGAACAAGGATTTTCTTTTTAATCACACATTTGTCCTAATGTGGTCTGTTCACAGCACATCAATACTGTAGCTATGTGTGTTTTTAGTCGTGCCCATGTGATCACACTGTTGTCAGTCAGTTGTCCATTTTGGCCCAGACTGAAATGTCTTCAACTGTTATGGGATGGATTACCCTGAAATGTTGCACATATGGTCACCAGAACGGATTAAATCACCGTCAAGCAGCACCATGAGGACACATTTGTGGCTTTGAGCAAAATATACTGAACAAAAAATATAACAATGCATGTAATATTTCACTAAATTCTATTCATTCTATTTAACATAGAGGAGTAGTTGTTTATCCAACACATGACATCTGTCCAACAGAATGGACGCCATGAAACAACTAAGGTTTTGCTATATTTGAACTAATAATGGGCAGATGGAAAGTGGAGTCAAACTGTACATCAGAAATCACAAATCAGTAACAAATCATACATTTGTGAAGCCGAGAGTTAATGAGTTTGTCGATGCTGGCTTGTGGGATGTTGTCTGACTCCCCCTAAAAGACTGATGACGTTGATGGACATTTTAGGGGACATGATGCCATTGTCGGACACGTCCACCCAGAGCACTCTAAAACTTTCTTAGATGACAAATGTTGGAGCAGCACATATTTAAGTGTCTGGCTACATCTCTAACTGACATACCAGCATCCAGCAGCCAACATCCCATTCTCACCTTTCTCTTTGACATTGTGTCATTTAAATAAAGTTGCATTTTAAGTTGGACTTTTATAGTCGCTGGTCATGGAAGTGTCTGTGTACTGGTCACTATATCTGATCATTGTCCTTTAAAGCTACACCTGATGAGGGTGGAGATTAACTCAGCGATCGAGAATTTGTCACAACAGTTCAAAAATGTTTTGTGTGCAATTGGCTTTTGCAAATTAAACCTTAAGGAAAACAGCAGGAACAATATTTGAAACCTTATCTCAGCACAGATTTCGATGCTACATTCACAATTTTGCCAGTACATGTTAGTTTGGTGCACAATGTGATACTATGGGATTACATGTTAATAGCACCCCTCTTGGGGCACATTTTGCATGTCATGTCTATGGATCTCAAGCTTTTCTTGTTTAATACTGTTAAATGGCCATGAGTAATTGTGAGAAACATTAGAGTGAGATGGTTAGCTTACTAAACTGATAATAAGTGGGTAAAGGTTAAGGTTGAGGTATTGTTCACCAAGAAGTCAAATGGGGACACGTAAATCAAGAAATACGTAGTGAAAACACATACGGTGACTTTGCGTGTTATTCGTACTCCGTTTCATGACACTCGGCTGTCGGGGGAGTTGTGGGGAGGAGGCTATGGCTTGTACCAAAAGAGGAGAAACTCAACACCCAGTAATTGCAAAGTTGTCTTATTTAAATACTGTGTGTTCTCAGCTGGCTATCTAACATTAGTAGCTACACCTTAAGTGCCAGATAAATCCCTGAGGAGCTGGTATTGACCAAAAATAGAGAGAATATTAATGAATATTTCACTTACATTCGTCAGCTGCCACAAAGTGTGATATGAAATGAAAAACAAAGCTGCTCTGTATCTGCAAGATCTGCAAATAACTGTAAATGATCTGGTTGCTCACAAGTTTGCCATCTGTTTAAACACCCCCAAGTGGAAACAAAACTGAAGGAGTACCACCAGCTTAAAGCTCTGATTTATATTGAATTTTGGTTTGGAATCAAAAAATGTATCTGCTGTCATTGTTAATTTGAGTTTGTTAGCTTGCCGGCATTAGCAGCCTCACAGAGCTATCGAAACTATCTTATCAGGATCAAAATACCTGTACAAACATCTGTATTCATTTTTCATCATGTTTCACATTCCATCAATATGACCACTTTGACAAAGATGGACTTATCAAATGTTAAAAGTCTGAGTATAACAATTGCTGAAGGATGCTGAATTGTGGAAATTTGGTGAGGAATTATTTTTTTTCTGGAAATAGGTGAAGAAGTATTACCTAAACTTAAATCATCACAACATTCCACCACTTAGCACACTGACAGAAGCTTTAATGGATGCTGTGCTTGTACAAAAGTCAGCGTTTTGATCATTCTTCACATTCTGAGCATGTCCATAACACTTATCACCTGTGAACATCTCAACCATTCATAAGGCAGATGAACAGCTCAGACCAGCTGTGTCCGACACTCGTTGATGTATCACCATCGATGTGTGTGTGCACGAGTAGGTCAACTACAGATCAAAGTAGCTAGTATACAGGTTAATAAATATTACTCACAATGTGTGCATTTAAACCACAGTTCAGATTAAGTA